GTCCTTTCACAGAGCCCAGCTATCTCTTTATCTCCAGGGTTTTTGTGGGTAGATGTGGTAAGCAGGTAGACCCCAGAGAGACTGTGCCAGGCAGGGCCTGTGCTTCAGGTCATAGGAAAGAGTCTGACAGATGAAAAAGCAGTCAAATTTTAGAATTGTCAAGTATTTTTTCCAGTGGAAAAGCTATAAAATTCAATATTTAGAACTCAGACCTTCACTTTTCAATCCTCATGTGTTGGAGTCTTATACTATTTATCACATAAAAGGCAAAAGACCATAAATGTAAGAACCAGAAGTGTGTGTTCCAACCCCATGTCTCTTCCCTGTATCTCTTCCAAGTGTCTTTACAACTGTCTCCTCCAGGTTTCTCCTTCAAGTCCCTGGTTGTGAGTTGAAACCTCAAAAAGCAAGAAAGCTGGAGCCTGCATATGTTCAGTTATATGCCAAGTTTGGCTGCTTAACTATACAACTCAATTCCAGTGGCCCTCCCATTCAGGAAGTCAGAAGCATGCCCTGCTGGGAGTTGTAGTCCTCAGGACCTAAACTCCATTGGGTGTGGCACTGGGGATGTAGTCCTGAATCTGACATAAAAAAATGTTAGAGAATAGAGTTCATTCAGAATATCATTCATAGTCTTGAGTTCACTACTTTCTCCAACATTGATTAACAAAGGGGAATTAAAATAGTCTAATGAGATGATCTCAAAATAAGATTACTCTGGCTTGTTGAGGTAAGCCAATGTTTTTAAAGGAAGTAGAAGCAATGAGGTCAAATAGACAATGATGATAGAGCAAGATCAAAGTGTTTCAAATTGAGGACCCAAACCCACTCTTGTTAGTTTTAAAGATAGGGCAAGGAGCCCTTGAAGGAATGTAGTTGGTTTCTAGAAGCTGGAAGGACAAGAAAACAGATTGTTTATTAGGAGGACAGCCCCATAGACAACCTGGTTTTCAGCTCATTGAGACCTATTTTGGACTTTGAAACTCCTGATATATAGGATAATACATTTTGTTTTAAGTCACTAAACTTGTAGTAATTTGTTATGGCAGTCACAAGAAAATACATCCAGAATTTTTTAATATAGGAAGACCAATTAACATGCCATTCAGGGCAC